TGAACCCCTCATGGTGTGGCAGCACCCACATCCTCTGTGCTATGGGTGAACCCTTAGGGATGGGAGCTCAGCTGTGAGTGGTCAAATGCTTCAGCCCCAGGCACTTTTCTCTCTCTCTCATTTCACATAGTTTCTTCTGGCCTCCTTGGATAGTCCCTCATAGTTATCCCTAGCTTTCCTGAAGTCCTAGCTCTTACCTGCCTGTCCCATAACTTCCTCCCTCCGTTCCCAACTGACCTCTCCCTCCTCTGAACTTAAGAGGGTTTTATCTTTAGAGGTAGCATCTTAATATCTGTTTTCTAACTTCCTGGGGTAAGCGAGGCTGCAGGCTCTGAGCCTCATACACACTCAACCTTCCTCACTCTTAGCTGCCCCCCACAAGATCGCACTGTACCTCAGTGTCTGTCAGACCCCCTCTGGTCAACAAAGAAGGGACTGAAAGACACCTCAGGAAAAGGACGTGGACCAGAGACCTAAGCCTGAGGCTTAGTTCCCTGCCAGTCCAGTGCAAAGGGCAGTGAGCAGCTGGAGCAGCCTCAGCACAGTGTAAGACAACTGGTCCCAACCCGTGTGTACGGTGGGGTGGAGCAGGGCAGGTCCAGGTCCAGGTCCCGGTCCCATGCGCTCGCTTCCCAGCCCTGCGTGAGCAGTGCAGATCTGACCCTTTCGTACCCCCCAAAGGTACGCCAGCGCCGGCTTCCCATCTGTGGACACCACAAAAGGAATGAGGAAGGGATGTCTTTGATGTTCAATACGACCAAAGCTTTGTCATTCCAAAGCCTGTTGGCAGATTAGTTCTGTACTGTTGCTCAAGGGCTGTGGCAACATTTGTTGTTCCTGACAGATTTATGTTTAGATGGCAAGTTACAGATATAGACTTTCAGTGGCAATAAAAAAAAGTCAAGAAGAGAGATGAATTCCTGCTTCTCTCTGCTTCCTTAAGGGAACACAGACAGGCTCTTTCAGCAACTATTTAGTTCCCTTGGGGAGAAGAGATAGATATTTGAGAAGTCTTCCCTATTCATTACAACCAGAAACCCTTGATTTTTTAATAGTTCCCTCTCGTCATAGACACACGCTGATCTGGGCCAGCAGGTGGGAATCATGACGTGAGGGAGTACAGCCGCACCAGCTGTACAGACCAAGGGTACACCAGCCCATCTGTCAGATCTGCAAGGATGCAGACTTCTCCAAGCCGGAGGGCTCCTCCCCAAACAGGAGAGGTGAGATTCACCTGAGGTCTGGGGTAGGACTTGAGGATGCATCAAGTGGCTGGGCACAAGGCAGGACAAGGTGTAAAGATCTCCCTGCTGTGGCGATGGACATGGCTGGTCCCATTTCCCCAGGTGTCTAATCCCTGCCTGGAGACCTGCATTAACATTCCCAGGGAGAAAGGCTGACGCATTTGGTCACCCACTGGTAGACCACTGCCTCAGGAGGCCATCCACCTGTAGGACAACTGGCTGGTACTTCAGTGCTGGATGTCTACAGGGGACCTGCAGATAGACCTCTCAATCCAGCATGACCCAAAGAGAAGATATAGCCAATAAAAGGCTGCATAATCTCTCCCCCGCATCTGCTGTTCTCCACCTCAAAACCTCCACAGTTCCAAACCTGGTGCTTGATTTCTTGCTGATCTTCACTGCAGCTCTGTACTAAGAAAAAAAGCTGGTGCAGCCTCACTCCCTGTGACCAAACCTGTTTTCTGTGCTGCACAGAAAACAAAAAACACAGTTTTTTTGGGACCTGTGCTAACACCTCCATGTGGGAGTGTGCTGGGCTACTTGTGCACCCTAAACTGCTCGGGACAGCTTAAGAGCATGGCTTTACATGAGGCTTCACTGAAGTCCCTAGTCATACACTTGGGTTTCTCACTTTCGAAACTGGAAATTTGACTGCATGGTCAGGTAAAAACCTTTGAAAAATTCACTCTCTTTTGTCATTCTTGAATGTTCATCTTGGAGTCCAGCACAGGAAGACAAACCAGTAATGTCATTCCAATACAAGGGAGCCCAGCCAGCTCCCAAGAAAAGCCCAGCCCAAGGGGATAGACATGAAGCATGTTGACCTTCCGTGCGATGAAGCAGAGGAAGCTGATGCTGGGAAGTGGAGTGAAGAAGATGCCCGGTTGGCAATCAAGCAGCACAAACCTAAGGCAGCTGGGTGATGCAGACTCACAATGACAGGCCTAGGGAAGTATGGCTTTAGGAGAAACCTCTAAGAGATTGCACCGGGGTTTGAACAAGGTATCCAGAAGATGTCTTCCCAATTCCCTTTGAAGTTTATTCATCACCACTGATAAGAGTCATGAACTTATTCATAGCATCTTCACCAGTACCTAGTTTACTTTGCACTATGATGCCCATTTGTCTGTGATCTGAGATTTCACACATGTTGTGAGCACACCAAAGGGATTCAAGGGTGCTGCTGAACGAAACAGATGTTCTACCCACCCCAAGAAGGGGTGCTTTGTCTGAAAGGAGCTAAAACTGTCTCAGGCGCACATTCGCAAGAGGTCAGTCAAGGCTGGAACTTCACTGTGACTGAAGCTGCATGCCATTAAGGAAAGACTGGCAATTACATGAAAACTGGTGGAAGGAAATAAAAACCCAGACAAAGAAATTGGTGAGGAGTGAAAAAGCAAAACAGAAAAGTATCAAAGAAGCTTTGATGCCATGACAGCTACCATATAGCCCACCTTTAGATCTCTGCAGTCAGCCTAGTGTGGGTGAAGAGCTTTCTAGACAGAAGGCAGTAGATAACTGTCTTCTCTGTGCCTGGGACAGCTCAGGCTTTTCATCTTTAGTTACGAGTGAATCAGCACTGGGCAAAGTGACAGAAAAGAAGCCCTCACGAACACGAGCACCTTCTGTCACCTCCCAAGCTAGCATACAAGCTGTCAAGACACATGTGGCTTTCTGGTGTTCCTGGGTCCCAAATCCTCATAAGCAAGGCTGCAGTGACCAGGAAACCTTTGAAAGCTTGCAGGGCTCATGGTTCCTTTTTTTCCCTAGCGGTCTCATACTTCTAGGCTGCTGAAGTTGATTTATTATTCAGTACTATGGCTCCAGATGTGACTTTTAGGAAAGAAATTTCCAGTGTGCATGGCACAAGTCTCCCGATCTGGACAGGAAGAGCAAAGAAAAGCAACTCTCTTGCATACAGAATCTGTCGGCTGTGGCAAAGGCTTCTGGGCAGCTCTTCTTCAGTGGCCAAGGAAATGGCCTGAGGGATATACCTGAAAGTTAAGGCTTGCTAAGGATGAGAGCCATGAGATGGTCTTTGATCATGGCATCCTTCTTCCTGCACACCAGTCAAGAGGTTTTGGCTGACTACCCCAGCAAAACAGAGTCCCTCCTCCTTCTGAAAGCTCTTGGAGGGACTGCACAAGTGGTGGACTATTCCTGCAAACATTACCTTTGGATTTCCCGGCCCACTCACTGGCGGAAACCCAAGAAGTCTCTCCTCAAAGGCCAAGGGAAGTGGACAAAGCTATGCCTGTAGGAACAGTCTTGGGGAAGCACAAGGCTGCACCAACCTCTAGCAAACAGCACCTTGTCCCGTCTCTAGCCTGTCTGGAGAACTCCAAAGACTGCCCTGGCTTAACTCCACCCCTCTGTGCCTAACTAGGTGAAAATTAAAAAAAAATGTCACCTCTGAAAAGTTGCTACTTGCAAATGTCATTGATAAAAATGGTCAGCAAATTTTCTGTCCAGATTCTGTTGTTGCTGGAAAATGTCCAATTCTCTCAGTTTCGACCAATTGCTTAAGATTTCTTTTAACCCATTTGAAAAACACCCACCAACTTTTGCTCTTGGGTACAAGATGAATTACATTTAAATATTTACATGGTAAAAAAAAGTGCAGTAAGATGATCAGCCAAATAAAGCA